CCAGTCAGGGCACATGCCTGGGTTGCAGGCCAGTTCCCAGCAGGAGACGCACAAGAGGCAACCACATACTGATATTTCTCTCCCTCTCTCCTTCCCTTCCCCTCTAAAGATAAATAAATAAAATCGTAAAAAAAATAATGAAAAAACAACATTGGCTTGGGGAATGACAAAGAAAGGACCCTGAAATATTTTCAGGGACACCTAAAGTGGTTCAAAACAAGTCTCCCATAAATGTGTCACTTTGGCATGGAGAGTACTTTGAGCTGAAGGTAATAAAGGCCCAGAAGACACAGGAGGAGCATTTACTGCCCCACCCCTGCCAGTTCTGTTTCTGTTTGCGAAGCAGCAGCACAGTTAAGCTCAGAGATTGATTTTTTCCTTTGGTACAGGTTTGCTGCGGGGATTTCTCAAGCCAACTGCATACAGGATAATATGTCTTTACAAGCCAAATACAGAAATGACACTTCAAACAGATGACAGATTAATTTCACTAGTGATCCTGGCCAGAGGAGATGAGGGGAACAAAGTCCAAATTTTATCAGAAGTGTATCTTTTTATATCAGAAGGCAGAGGCGCTTGGCAGTTCTGGAAAGAAAATTCAGGACTAAAAAAATAATAATAAAGCAAAAATGAAACTTCTTTCCATGAGTTTCAGAGAGAAAAAACCCCAGAACATTTTGGTGTTCTGAGCTGTCCAGCTTTCCACTGACCGTTCAAGAGAAGACTAAAATAATTCATCACTGGTGGGACCACACTCTAAAGCCTGGACCTAGGACCATGAAGCTTCTGAAGTTGTCAGACTCAGAAATATGGCATCATTTATAAAGCTGCCAAATTACGTCTCCTTTATAACTGAAAATAGCTGACAGGGCTTCACTTTGATTCGCCAGGAGTCCCCGTCCCAGGTGCTCACAAGATAGGAAAAGGCAAAAGGCAGACACACTGAGCTGCTTCTGTTAGCTGCTTTTTCTTCCTGAAATAAATATTTTAAAACTTCACAAAGGAAGCCACATTTTGAGTTACATTAAGCGACTCCTTAGGGCACTTCAAAAACTGCTTCCAAACTCTTTTTTTTTTTCATTCTTATTTACTCCTATTCCTTTCCTGTAGGCGTTAACAGAAGAAAGCTGTGCTCCAGCCACCACTCTCCCCACCTAATAGCACTGGTAATGACCAGCATTCTTCCCACCAGCGCAAATAAGCGCTTTCTTCTAGGGATTCTCCCCCAGAAGTCAGCGTATTTTTTATCATCCAGAACTATCTGCTGAATATCGCGTGCTATGCACTCCATCACAGTTGATACTGACTCTCTAGTGGGGACTCAGCTGTTGATCAAAACAATCGAACTACATGTAAAATCACTGATGTGGCAAAGGCTAAGGAGAAGTGCACTAAGAAATATGTAACAGGGAGCTCTGGCCAGCCCTAAGATCTCAGATAAGGTTTCTCTGAGGATGTGACTAGACCAAGAGCTGTAGGACAAATGAACAGGCATTAACTAACACAACTGCAGCACACCTGGAAGTGAAGGGGGACTGAAAGGCCTCAGTGAGACAACTCAGAGATCAAGGGAAACAGGAGGGAAAGGCTGTGGGAGAGAGCAGGGATCATCCTGCTCCAGCCTGGGACATAAGACTTGGTTGTGAGTCCCTGGAGGAACCTCCCTGGTGGGCACTGAGCATGGACTGGAGGGTGGAGGGGAGGTAGAGAGAGGGCAGATCAGCTCCAGAGTTCAGGTTTACAACCGAGCCGTCCAGAGGACACTGCTTGTAGGTGCTGGGGTGAGGCTGGGGTGAGGCTGGGGTGCAGGAGGTATCTGCTTCCGGAAATAGAGTTGAGAGCGGAAATAAAGTCTGTTCAGTAACAGACTGGAATGGGGGTATGACATAGAAAAAGAGCTTAATGATGCCCTGATTTCCCATGTTGGCAACTGAACATACAAAGGTGACATCTACCACAACAGGGAACGAGGGAAAGAAGTTTGGGATTTGGGTAGGAAGTGCGGTGAGCAAGTTTAATTAGTGGAGTACCAGGGGCCTTCGTGAAGTCAAAAGGGACATGCCCACTAGGCAGCTGGACATAAGAGATCCTGAGCCCAGAGGAGGGGTGTACCTTGCATACAGAATTCCAATCACCTGAGCAGGGAAACCGAGTCCTAAGTCTGAAGAATATTCCTTGCTCAGAGACTCTGATTCTCGGCGACACCCTCCTTACATTTCGGCCACGTAACTGCTTGCCTGCCGTCCCACCCCCATTTCTTGATGGAAGGAGCTACATTTGACCCACTACCCCTTTCCTAAAAGCCTGAAGCATTTCCAACTACTTCTGTCCTGGTCACAGGCCTGCCCCGCGGTGAGAGTAACGCACATCCCTCACTGTCACTTGTGTGTCCCCAAAGTGCGACTGCGGATCAAAGGGACCTATACAGTGCCTAGGTGACCCCAGGGGCGTCCAATCCCTCAGTTCCCTCGTAATCTGTGAAATGAAAACGGGGGCTCGTGCTACAGAAGCGGCTACAAGGCTGCAGTGAGGTGCGGGGGCGAAACAGCTACAGAACATGGGTACAGATCCTGGGGTCGGTCGCAGTGACTCAGGACAACACGCAGGCCCCAGGCACCGCCCCCGGCTCTGCTCCACTTCGCCCCGCTCGTCCGCAGCACTGCCCGGAGGCGAACTCGAGATCACGACTCACCTTGACCTGCCGGGAAGCAGACTCGCGAGCCGCCGGAAGAGCCGGCGGGCGGAGTCTTCTAGAAGGAAGTGGCCGAGACAGGAAGTCCAGCCCCGCATCCCGCCCACGGGGGTGTGGCTGCCACGGCGGAGCCGCTGCTGGGCCCCGCCCCGCCTCGCTTCAGGGCCCCGCCCCGCCTCGCCCCGCCGCAGTCTGACCCCCCCACGAACGTGCTCGCCTCTTTTCTCATCCTTGGTTCTGTCTCAGGCCTGCAATTTCTTCTGTACAGTCTTTTAAAAATTCTTTTCCTCTTTATTCTGCGCATTCCTTCCCGTTTTCCCACTTCTCTTTCTTCCCTTCTCTCATTTATTCCAGAGTTCTCTCGACGAAACACAAATTGCAAGTATACATCCAGTTTTACAACTTTTATTTGCTAAACCTATACTAGGTAGCAAATAAAAATATATAACACACATTATATATATATAACACATTACATATATATGTAATGTATATATATATATTACATATATTTAATAGATAGGTAGCTTGATAAGTGATGCCCAGAACCAACTGTCCCTATTTTCAATAATTCATTTGATTAGCATTTGAGGACTTCCCACGCTTCAGACAACTGCATTTTTATATGCATTATTTTATTTATACCTTGCAATAGTTCTATAAATTTAGCTTCATCAAATAGATGAGGAAAATAAGCCCAGAGAAGTTATTTGTGCTGAGGTCACACAGCAAAGGCAGAGTGTGGAACACCCCGACTCCGAGTCCACACTCAGGGACTATATAGCCCAGTGAGGCTGCACTGTATGAGATACAAGGACTAGTCTGTAGTCCTTAGAGTTTTCTCATCTTGAAATAGTAAGTCTTGTATCATGGGATATATAGTCTTACCATTATAATGCAGAAAGCACTGCACAGATCCAAGAGGTCCTAGACACAACAGGACCAAGAAAGTGGGTTGGTTATTCGGCTACTTGCTTGTGAAGGGATTGCTTCCCTTTATTTGACCAAAGGACAGGGTGTTGTCAGCAACACATTGCAAATGAAGGAGTTCTCAGAGACGAATGACCAATTCTCAAACCTCGCAAAGAGCCAACACTTTTTCATTTTTCTAAAGATTAATGATTTAAAAAAATCATCCTTCTTCTGTATTTCTAGGGGCTGATTTGTATGAGGGAATCCTATAGAGTAAATGTACCCCAAAATGTTTTCGGACCGATTTTGGTCCAGAAAGGGGAAGAAAGCACACATTTGAGACTTTTATTAGGATGATCATATCTCACATCAGTCTGTCCTGATTATAGGCTTTAGAACTTACTGCCCAAGTCTAGGTTCTTATTGGGAAATGTTCATGTGAAACTTGAACCCATTTAGAAAAAGTGGAGTAATGGTGTTATTCAATAGGGATCATTTTAGTTGAATCAGCTAACTCTGACAAATAGTCATGTAAATAAAATCTTAGTGTCTACATTGAGATTTGGCTTCATATATTAGCAGTTATTTATTCTTTTGTGTGACATCAGTACATGTTTGGACAAAGATATCCAAATGATGATCATAGTTTGTCACTGAATCCTTATATAAAATCTGATTTTAAATGAGCAAAGAGAGAGTGCAGGAGTCTGGTAGCAACTTTTTCTTCGGAAGCAGTTGTGTGAAGAGCTCACTTCTGAAAACCAGTGTCTGGGTTGTGAGAGTGTAGTTCTCTGGGTGGGATGGGAATGGATTCTTTACAGTTAAGTGTTACAGACTGAATTCTTTGCTTTTTATCCAAGGAGAATAAAAAATCATTAATATGGGAGAACTGTTCTTTACAAACTTTGGACTTAATACTAGAAACTTCTGTAAGTTCGAAAGAAAAACTACTTGTAATTTTAATAATAAAAACTTTTTAATGAAACCTTGAAGTTATCAAAGTCCTTCTGAAACTAGAAAAGACACCAGTGTTTGTGCTGCCTGTCACGTGCCAAACCCATTAAGCAGAAACAGGGATTTGATCTTTATGAGCACTTTATTCAGACGGCTGGCAATCTGAGAAAACGGCAGGTTTGTACCCTAACAAAACTCTTAACACTTTCTTTCCAAACCAGCTTTTTATAACAGGGAGTAAATATAGTATGGTGAGGGGTTTTGAAATTCAGGGAAAATTAGGTGAAAGAAACTGTAGCATTCTTGTCCTGAGCAGTTAGCTGTTACCAAGGGCAGGTGGTCGTCTGTCTCTTCCTGGAACACAATGGCCTGAACACCTCCACTTGTTCCCAAGAGGTTGCCTGTCTTTCCCAGGAGCCAGGACGGGAAAGTTTCTGAAATAATAGCTTATGTGTAGTTTCTGAAATAATAGCTTTAACATATGCATTACTTACGAGGCTTATAATCGTTTACATTAAACTAAACTTTCCCAACTCTTGAGTCCCCTGTCACTTTAATAGTGTAGGAAAGGTTTTCAGGAATAGTAGTTGTTTTGGTTTGTTTTTAAAAGTATGTTGACAAATTGTGTATCCAATTTTGTATGTAAATAAAATTTAAATTTTCTCTTTATAACATCTCAGAAACTGAGTCTCATTTAGGTAATTTGGCGGTCTTTGGTTATATTATTTATGTAGATTTTGTATTCTGGATTTACAGTTTTATTAAATACATAAAACTTTTGATGATAACTTTGCAAGTATTTGTTAATCATTGAGTATGAGAATCTGTCTTTTTAAAAATAATATTTAATATTTTATAGCCTAATCAAGTGTAATGGAAATCACTATGTTAAGTCTAGGAAAGAGAGCAGCACATAACTAAAAGACAAATAAGTTCGATCAAGCTGATAAGGTTTTCATTATTTTTCATTCATTGGAACTGTTTTGTATATTGTCTTAGTTCTACTTGTCTTATTTTTGTGTTGTGCTTATGGCTTATTTTACATAAACTTTTATAATACTTTAAATTAAAAAAGACTGATGACTTAAGTATCTGAATAGGATACCTTTATTTATCTAGCAAAAAAAAAATGCTTTTGTGTTTTTGATGAAAAAAGAAGAAAAAAACTTCAGAAATTAGCTGAAGTTCTCTGTTGTCATTTATCTTAAAATAAACTCCTGCCTCTACATTGTGATGTGTTGATTCATAGGCAAATAAAATTTTCCAGGCATTTATAGAAATGTCATCAGAGTCCTCTTTACATCTTCTTAAATTAACATGGTCCTGTAACAGGGTGCAACCAGGCCCCCCCCCCCACCTCAAATGAAGGATTTGAAATGTGGTCCAGAACTCAGGGTGTCCAGGAATTATAAACTATAGGATATCCTTACCCCCACAAGTCTGAACTGTGAGGTGGGATGCATGGAGCAGGGCCATTGAGAGTTATTTTGCATTTCAACAGTTGGCCAGCTTCACACCTGATATCCAAAAACATATTTTATTCAACATAATTATAACAGCTGGGTAGTTTCATAGATATGTTAAGTAGCTGTGGCCATGCTTTGAGTAGGGAGATGGGAGTGACTTTGACTCATGATGTAACTGGGAGGCAACTCCCCCTGGTTACAGCGCCTGTGTGAGAGCTTGGAAATGATTCACTCCATGGCACAGGACCACGCCTGCTCAGACTAACTACGGTAGCCCAGGAAAACTGGAAAAATACAGAATGCTGGTAGGTGTGGCTAATTGTGGGCGGAGTCAGAAATGGGGATGCAGAGGAAGATTCGCAGAGGGGATTTAAAAACCCAGGCACGGCGTGGGCAGCCACGCAGTGTGGACCATGTGGTTGTGTGGCTCCCTTAACCACTAGTCTTAGAAAGCAGGAAAGTGAGATGTAGGAGCCACACAGTGCTCTCTCAGCAGTTTGGAAGAATGCAGGAGAGACAATGCAGGAAGGAAAGAGGTAAAAAGACATGCTGGTGGGCCATGAGAAGGTGCCACATGGTTTTGGGTTAAGAACCGGAGGTCGTGGCAACACAGCTTATAGTGCTGGGGACTGCAGACTAGCTGGCCGAGCCATGCTCTTCTATTTTTCCTGAGATATGATACCCTAGGCTGGCCTGCCAGGGCAAAGGGGAAGGAAGGACTCTGTGTGTTTATGGGTGTTTGGGATTTTAATGAAGACATTAAGTCATTACTCTAAGTCTGTATAACTTTTGAATAAATAGTTCCTTTCCTTTTCACCAAACTCTGGCATGGGAGCCATAATTCCAATTCCTAAGGGCGATGGGCAAGGTGAACCTGTTGAAGAGAGATCCCAGGAAATGGAGGATCCATTCTGTAACAGTCTTGTCCACCCAACCCCCCATGAGGCCATTCTCTGACAGTCCCACTCACAGAAGATCAGCTATCTTATTCTCTCAAATTAAGAACACTTACAGATTCCCACCTCAAATGAGCAGGTCAAACATTTTTCTAGGGTCCTCAGCTGCTACCTCCCATTGTTCTCAAGTAACTGAGATTTTCCAATCCAAAAGAGGCCATTCTGCCCCCAAAACGCCCTTATGAACATGAAATGTTGAGTCCTCTAGTGCAGAGATCCCATTAGGAACATGGCTGCTGGCAAAGCTCACCTTAATTTGGCCTCCTGCCTCCTCCCCACCCCTCCTCTTCCACAGGTGACCAGCAAAGGGTGCTCACCTGACTGCCTTCCATGAAACTGGTCCCTGGTGCCAAAGAGGCTGGGGACTGCTGCCTAGCACACAGGTACCACCAAATCCAAATGATTTTTGTCTGTGAGTGGTCCAGATGGCTGCAGGGCCCTCAGCACTGGTGCATTGCTCTTGGGTTCTCAAAGGGGCAATTTTAAAAGCTACATTAGCAGTCATTGTTCCCAATCACAAAGATCTACCAGGCCTAGGTGGCTGGGAGATCTGGAGGGGCCAGGTTCCAGCCTCAGCCCCGCCTGGTGAAAACAAAACCTGCGCTCTGGTATGGGGGACAGGTCAGAGTTCCCTTTAGGGAGCCTTTGATATCCCTTATCACCAGCTGACTTTCATCCTGGAGAGAGGTTTTTATTATCCTAAACCTCAGAATGGAAGGGAAGGGAGATCTAAAGCCCCTGATATCTCCTAGACACCTGACTGTTCTTGAAAGGGGCTTTAGGGGAGGGATGGTCTTTGTCAGGCTACGGAGTGCTTTCGACATGCTTCTGCATCTGGGGGATAGTACCCAACTGCCCTGTATTTGCATAATAAAGAGTGGTCACCAAGGTGATTCCTTCCACAGCAATCTTGGGTATCTTGCTAACCCTACTTACTCCCCAGAGGTGACTGCTTGTAAATGGCAACTCCCTTTCACTGGAAAAAAAAAATCAAGTTCACACCACAAGATTTCCCGTAATGGACTTGGACTAAAAATAAAATTTACACGTGTAATATGCAGGTCCTCAGGTGGTGGAGTCTCCCAAATATCTAACAGGATTTTCATGTTTTAATGTGAAATAAATTGGAGCTGCAGATACTGGTTAAGTCCCTGACATGCCCTGTAATGCCAACAGCTTTCCCAGTTGATTGGAGGATCATCCTGTACACCAGAAGGTTGTGGGTTCGATTCCTGGTCAGGGCACATACCTAAGTTGTGGGTTGGATCCCCAGTCTGGCATGTAAGATACCTGGTCCCGGCACGTATGGGAGGCAACCAATCACACTTTTCTCTCTCTTTTCCTTTCTCTCTAAAAGCAATGATAAAATGTCCTTGGCTGAGGATTAAAAAATTAAAAAAAATTTTTTTTTTAAATTTTGGTGGCTGCCCTAACTACAGCACTTGTGTGTGGTTACTACCCTCATCAGTCTGAACCTTCTTCCCTTTGCCCCATCACCCTGCCCATGATGCTAGGTCCTAGAATTTCATACCACAGCCACAGACTTAAGAGTTGAGCAAGATCTTAAACCTCAGTTAAATTTCTTCATCTTACAGATGTAAAACTGAAGTACAGAGAAGTGTCTTGTTCAAGGTCACAAAGTTAATGAAACGCAGGTCCTTCATCACCCAATCAGTAAAATATGTTCAAGCAAATGCGTATGTTACAAAACAAAGAGCATATATACAAGGCCAAGGTGGGTCACAATATACTGTTACCGAAAGGACCCTCTACTGGGCTCCATTGTCCGCCGCCAGAGGAAAGATGTCTCTCAATGCCAGAGATTTGTGAAAAGGAAAGAAAGGTTTATTTAAAGCTATACAGACTTAAAATAGTGACCCAATGTCTCCATTAAAATATCAAAGTCCCAGATGCCCACAAGTACTTCCTTCTCCCCCTGCCCTAATTTGGGGTACCGTAACTCAGGAAAAGCAGCACACGTCCGTGTTCCAGGCAGCTGGCATGGTCAGCTGTGTTGCCATCCAGGCAGGATCTCCAATTAATCCAAAGCCACGTGGCACCCTCTCATGGTCCACTGGCAAAGAGTTATTTCACCCTTCTTCCAGGCAGAGTCTCTCCTGTTTCCCAGGCCACGCAGCCAAAGGGAGCACCCCAAAGCCACGTGGTCCTCTTCCACCAGAGCTGCAGGGGTCCGCACTCCGGCCAAAACTGCATGGTTCTTTTCTCCACCAGTGCTGCAGGGGTCTGCACTTGGGCCAAACCACATGCACCTCTCCTCTCCTCAAAAGCCTTGGCGGGGGGGTGGGGGGGGTGGCAGAGTGGGAGGTCACCACTGTGCCAAAGCCCAGCGGTGGTTCTTTGCTAAAGCCACATGGTGAGTCTCTCTACCCCCAGCTGTGGGGGTCCCCACTCTGTCCAAAAGCACATGGCTTTCTCCCAGTGGCTGCCGTGTCTGCGTTTAAATCCCATGCCAGTCTTCCTCTATACCCCCATTTCTGACTCCTACAATCAGCATTGCCAGCATTCCTGTATTATTCCAAGTTTACTGGGCTGCGATCATGAGTCTGGGCAGGTGTGGCCCCATGTCATGAAGCCAATCTTCTCCAACTCCCATGCAGGCGCTGTGACTCATGGGACCTGCCCCCAGTTACATCTTGGGGGGGAATTCCCTTTCCATTCCCCTGGCTCAGAGCACACCACAGCTATTTAACATATCTATGCAACCAGTTAAAGGTTATAGATATGTTAAATAACCATGCCAGAGGTTAGCTGCAAAGCTGTTGCTGTATAAAACAGCTCTCAATGGCCCTGCTCCATTTGTCCCTTCTCCATCTCACACCTGTTGGGGGGAAGGGGTGAGGACATCTTAATATTTCCTGGACACCTTAAGTTCTGGACCTCATTCCAAATCTGTTTTTGGGGCCTCCCTCTTGGCTGCATCCTGTTATACATGTAAGTTAAATTTGTGCAAGCTTAATTATATTTTTTGGCATCTAAGTGGACATTTCTGTGTAAAGGACTCAGTAGTAAAAGACTCCATATAAACATTTATCATTTAATAAAGTGAATAAAAACCAGCCACCACCATGCTGAAAAACATCTCTTATAAATCTTGGTATTGATATACTGAATTTGATGAAATTAGAAAAGAGAAGAATTTTGGTTTTCCTACTGGCTGACAAACTAATTACCTAATATTGTGAGAGTTTACAGGATGCCTATTATGTGAACACCCCTTCCTCATAATCACTGCAGGAGGTGTGTTTTACATTGCTCTTTCCTACATGCGAGACCACAATGAAGTATTACATTCCAATGCAACTCTATAAAACATTTCCAACACAGCTATAAAGTGATTGCCATCTTAACTTTCATATAATAATGTACGTATTTTGATAATGTATACTTCCCCCCTAGTGTCAAGTTTGCAATCAGATCATAAGTGGGTTGAGAGCAGACATTATTTTAGATATGCTTTGAATCTCCCATAGTACTTCATTCAGAGTAGGAATTCTCATGCTTTGTTAGATGAGGGGAATTTTTTTCTTTTATATTCTATGATAAAGATACATCTTTTCTTAGCCTTGTAGAATAGGAGGATCAGTGATATTTCACATCCAGAATACACGGCCACTGTAAAAGGAGCCACAGAAGCTAAGTCTGCCTTGGACCGGGAAAGAGAGAGCTCAATAAAGGCCAGAGCTAAGAAGCTACTTAGCATCCCACTTTCCATAGTGTAAACAGTTTTACACACAGGAAGGGGCAGCCTAGAGATTTTAGCAAAGGAGTACCCAAACAGAAAACACAAAGCAGGAGCTAAAATACCTAACAGAAGTATCTCTAAGTTAACTGTTTTTAGAAACCTAATTCCATTCTGAACATCAGTTAAATCCTCACAGACATTAAAAGAAAGCTCAGAGGTGTAATGATTCTCTCTATGTTTGTTTTTTCAGGTAGTCTATGCTTGATGACTATTCCAGCCGATATAGGTATAAGTATGAAGAGGAATGGTGACATAATTATCAAAACGGGAATATGGAATGTACCAGATAACCCTAATATCCTACTGTACAGGTAAGAATTGGCGGTTATCATTATAAGGGCCAAGACCACTGACATGCAAGTAGTAAAAACAGCCAGAGTGATACCTCCTTCTGGAAGCAGAGCAAAGAACCAGGGACACCAAAAACTGTTACAGAACAGACACAACCATCTGTTTTTCTGCTGCCTTAGGAAAGACGTCTTTCAATGCCAGAGATTTGTGAAAAGGAAAGATTTAAAGCTATACAGACTTAAAGTAGTGACCCAATGTCCCCACTAAAATATCAAAATCCTTTTGAATACCCACAGATGCCCACAGTGCTTCCTTCTCCCCCTGCCCTGATTTGGGGTACTGTAACTCAGGCAAAGAAGTAGGCATCCGTGATTCAGGTTGCCAGCACCATCAGCCGTGGGGCCGTCCAGGCAGGATCTCTAATGGCTCACCGGCAAGAGTTCTTTCACCTTTCTTCCAGGCAAAGTCTCTCCTGCTTCCCAGGTCATGTGGCCAAAGAGAGCACCCCAAAGCCACGTAGTCGTCTTCTACTAAAGCTGCGCGGGTCCCCACTCTGGCCAAACCTGCATGGTTCTTCTCGGCAAAGCTGCGGTGAGGGTCGCCACTCTTCCAAAGCCGAGTGGTGATTCCCTCTACTCAAGCTGTGAGGGTCCCCACCCTGGCCAAAAGTGCAAGGGTCTCCTCTCACATGGCTGCTGATCCTGGGTTTTTAAATCGTCACACCAATCTTCCTCTAGAGCCCCATTTCTGACTCCTCCTACAATCAGCTACACTTGCCAGCATTCCTGTATTACTCCAAATTTACTGGGCTGACATTGTGAGTCTGGGCAGGTGTGGCCCCATGTCATGGAGCCAATATTCTCTAAGCTCTCATGCAGACGCTGTCACCTGGGGGACCCTGCCCCCCTTGCAGGGGAAGTCCCTTCCATCCCCCTGGCTCAGAGCATGGCCACAGCTATTTAACGTATCCGTGCAGCCAGTTAAAGGTTATAAATATGTTAAATGATCGTGCCAGAGGTTAGCTGCAAAGTTGTTGCTGTACGAAACAGCTCTGCCTGTTCCTGCTCCATGTGTCCCTTCCCCCAACTCACACCGGAGGAGGAAAGGGGTGAGGACATCTTATATACCTTTCTAATATTTCCTAGACACCTTGAGTTCTGGACCTCATTCCAAATCCCTTTTGGGGGCCCCACTCTTGGCTGCACCCTGTATCATTCTCTGAACATATAAACACTTCAAAAGATTCTTCATGTAGTCAAGACAGAATCTGTGTTAAATTTCCACTAGGACAGTTTGTAGTAACTACTTTTATATCATGATGTTTGCTCCTCAAAAATTCTTAAAACAATTCTATTGTGTATTTTTTAAAGTTTTAAACAATTCTACTTATGTAGGTTAACTTTTCAAGGGCAGTAGACACTACACTTAAAATAATAAATGTCAACTATAACTAAAAAATAAAAATAAATGTTTTAAAAACTGCAATAGACCCTATAGTTCATAAATGTATTTCCATGTACCACATCAAGACATTGTCCCAATGCTGAAAACAGGGAATGTAACTGATGTTTCTGTGATAACTCAGTTACATTTCCAGAGAACTTCCCTAAAGAAAAAAACACTTCATGAAACCAAAGCCATCTTTACAGTATGTGACCAAATGTTTTAAATCACAATTTTGGTTTCCCAGCTAAAAAATGTAAGGAAGGTACATTTTGTTTTGCTCAGATTCCTCTATCTGCAACCTAAACTCTATAGGGAATAAAACCTGACAAATCTGGAAAAAACTGAGTAATTTATTTTTCACATGCCTCTACTGGCTGATTATATTTAAACTGAAGCTTATTTATATCATATAATTACAACTGTTTATCTGAACTGAAAAATATTTGTGGGTTTCCTGCTTATAATTCTGGTTGTCAGCAAGCAGGTAGAAACATACTATGGTGGGGCTGGGAAAGTTTCACTGAGCATACTCAACCGAGAGCCCTACAGCAAAGTCTGAGAAAGCTGATTGATGTCAATAGTGTGAAGAAGCTGCAGAGCTTTTCTCTTGCCTACAACCTGTTCTCTTTAGGAGACTGTTCATGCTGGGTCTGATCCCAGGAGCCTCTAAGGATGCTTGCACTTGTGTCTTCCGGACAAGCTTGCCCCACTACCTGGCAATGGACCTAACCATGGATGCCTACTGACACAGTCCTTCCTGCCATGACCCTGGTTTACCTTCTGTCTAGTCATTGACAGGCCTGCTTCCACGTTCTCCCAGTATAACTCAGTCTCTGCCAGCCTTATGTACCCTCTTCCTGAGAGTGTACCTTATGTACACTCTCATTGGTTCTTTCTCTGGTATATTTAGCTTTATATTCATGAGACATATGTTAACTCCCTACCATGTACAAATAATTATGGCACATGCTGAGATATTTGTTTGTGTTAAAACTTTCTGGTGTATTTAAAAATTACTTCTACTTCTGGTCATACAGTTTGTGATAAAAGAGCTATTGGAACAGAGCTATGCTTATGATCCATCTGCTCATTTGGTACTTGCCACACACTAGAATCAAATCCTTACACTTAGTAGGTACCTGAATAACTGTACTAATAAATGAATGGATCGCCAGCTAATGTAAATCAGAAGCTATCTCCATTCTTTGCATGAAAATAGCACAAAGAAAAAATTAAGAGGGAAATTGAATATTCCAAGTCTATTTCTTTAATTAAACCTAAAGCCGCTGTACTTGTCCATGTCAATTAAAGTAGAAAAGGGACAAAGAACAAACAAATCTTTTCTGTTCTATATAGCAGTCCTTTCTTGAGTGAGGATGGAATACATCAGTCAGGGCATCAATTTGTCAGTAAAATGTGTCTACCTTTGGCATGCTTTTGCTTTGGTAGATATAAAGACATGGCACTGAAGTTGAGCTACCTCATCTTTCTTCTCATTTGTAATATCCTTCATCAGAGATATGCCCCAAAGCAATTAAATTACACCAGGAAAATCATTTCCCCTTCCTAGGCCTGAAATTCCTCATCCAAAACTTTGAAAAGTCAATGAGACAATCTCTCAGTTCCTGTGATTCATGTACACACATGAATTTATACATCATGATGTAGGCGCAAGGTAAAGCTATACTGCCTTGGCCATGGAACTTGCTTAAAGCAAAAGTGATATGTGTACCTTCTAAGAACCACTTCTTTTTTCCTCTGCCAGAAGAATAGTAATGTCCCTAAAAGGACACCTGAACATTCAGTGCAGATGCAGATGTCAATACCAACCCAATGAGACATTCAGCTTTGTTGTTGTTATTATAGCACATTCTACTAAATCTAATGAAATACAACAATTTGCTAATAACTGAATGTCAATTCATAAACTTTAAAAACAATTTTAACTTATAGAAAACTGGTAATATTATGATATAATGAAAAATAATTAAAGCAACTTTTAAAAATAAAAATATGCATAGTATCCATAGTAAAAGACATAACTTCACATAGAGGTTAGCTCACTGAATCCTTGAATGACTATTCCAAGTAGGAATCAACGTTTTTTAAAAACTGTTCTTCCTCATTAAGATATTCCAAGATAATGTTTCCACCATTATATAAAGGACAATCCTCCTCAGCAATCCACATTTCCAAAGTATGATCCAAGGGTAATGCTTCTCCTGAAGTAATGTGACATAACCTTAATTTCTGTTACAAGGGAAATAAAGCACATTGTAATAAACAAAGATGCTTGTGTAGCATATCTTAAAGCTTCTAGGGAAAAGTTATTATAACCAGTTGTTACCTTGGCTGTTAATTTGTTATTGTTGTTTTTCAGGCTGGCTAAAGAAGCTGCAAAGTCAATGACCTTCCCAATGCTCCACTGACGGCAGAAGAACATTGGTTTGCTCTTCTCTTTGCTTTCCTTGGGTAAGAAAACCTGCAAGTAAATTCTTTCTGCCTGTAAAAATAAAAAAGTTAAAATACAGATTATGTACATGAACTAGTTACCTGTTCTTGTCTGGTGACATGTCCTCCTCTCTTCTCCTGGTCAGAGGGATTACCCTCTAATGCGTAGCCCAGCATCCACCTGAATTCAGGGAACAGGACTTAAGACCCTGGCAGGGTAATCTGTACAAAGATAGGTATGTGACCTAAAATAGGCCAGTCAAGGCCTTTTCCTGGGATTTTACCTTCAAAAGCTGGGGGAGGAAAGGGAGAGCTCTTTTTCCAGATGTTTTTAGTCTTTGAATTAAACTTGGAATTGCCTACAGCTATCCCCCAGGCCTCTCAGCTATTCCTGAAACAATGTGGAAAAAAAGTCTCCTGAAATGGGAAACAATGAGTTCAATATAGAGAGAGAAGTCAAGGGCACAATGGACTCATTCAACTGCATTTGATTCCTGGAATCTGGTCATTGCTGGAGACCAGATCAAAGCCACTCCCCATCATATAAGGGAAAAAAAAATTGTTTTGATTAAATTACTTGGTATCAAGTTTCTGTCACTTGCAATTGAAAGGTCTCTGAAACATAAAACATGTCTTTTCGTGTGAAAGACCTCACAACATATTTAGAGACAGCAGGGCTTTTGAGAATAAAGAAACTAAAAAAAAGAAAAAAGAAAAAAACAGACAAGTACCATATCAATAAAAGAGAAGGAGTCATAGATTTGGATGGTTCCTCTAACATTCTATACCCTATATGCTTCCTTATATTTTATTTTCTTGCTAAATTAATAAATGCAGGGCAAAAAAGGAGTAAGAACAAAGGCGTTTTGCCTTGGATCTTCCTTGATTCCTAAAAATAGGTTTAAAAAGTGTTGGCTTTGTAAAGGGAGATCTGGCCAGATCACTGGCCACAGGTGAGGCACCCTAGAGATGTGTCAGGAAGTACTGAAGGTGGCAGGATTTAAGCCGCAGCCAACTGTGACTCCATTTCCCTGGGTGAGGGTGAGCAAACAAGTGTATGATGCCCAGCCCTGGGCAGAGATGCTGTAACATAGCTAGAAAATTTTTCTACCCGCTTCTGGATCATGGCGACCAGAGGAGGGGCAGAGATGCTGCACAGGCTGACATGTACCTGTAGAGCCCACAGGATTGGCTAGAAAAGTTGGATGCTCCCACTGTGTATGGGATTTGGGGACAGAAAATTTAACCAGAGGGCACAGAGTCTCATTCGTTTTTTGCAATCCCCTTAATAGGGGACTTAAGAGTTGGAAAATTTTAGTAGCTAATAAGTTTAGCAATCAATGCATGTAAAAGCTTTTGTTCCAGGAACTGAAGGTATGACCCACTCTGACTTCCAAGAGACCATAAGCAGTTCCACTTTTGTGCCTCAGTAGGACTGTAAGCAATTCAAGATGATATCTGAGCCATTGTACTCCAGGGTAAGATGATGACCCCCCAGGACACAGTTAAGGACCACTGCCCAGGGCAAGAATGCCCAAGTTGTTTTTTTTTCATCCAATTAACTTTTTGGGGAATTCCAAACCACTTACCTACAGTTTGTTCTCCTTATAAAAAGGGCCATTGAAAAATGGAATTGAAGATGGTCTGTTAGGGTATGAACCTGCCATCTTTTCAGATTACTGGCCATCTGAATAAAGCGCCCATAAAGATTCAATCACTGTCATTGCTCATTGGGTTTGATAGTGATAGGCAGCCTGAACTCCGGTGTCTTTTCTGGTTTCACCCTCCCTCACCCAGTCAGGGTGGGCCAGAGTGCTTGTGAGACCCAGTGGATGTTGGCCCCACTTCTGGCTCTTGCCGTGCTCTTTCTCGCCCAGCTGGGAGCAGGCTAACTGGGACAAGGGCCTTGCTGGCAGCACCCCATGGGACATTGCAGCTCCACGTGATTCCGCAGGGGTCCTGGACTGTGCTCCCATTCTATTTCTCTGAGGGCAGTGCACAGACACACAGGCTATCAACATTCACAGACTCCAGGAGTGTGAGCAGCTTTAAATGCCAGGGCCCTACAGTCAGAGCTGCTTGCAAGACAGGCTACAGTAATCCGGCAGTGTGCCCCATCCTGGGACAAAGAGGAAGCTGCTATTTCTGTAAAGTGAAAAATCTCACAGAACTATGTATCATTTATTTATGTAGCAACACACCATGTAACACTAGGAATGATACACATCAGATTTAAGGTAGTTGTTACTAAGTGGGAGGGAGGAGTAGAAAGAGGCTTCAACTCTATCTAAACATTTTTGTTTTTCAAAGTCTCTAAGACCAACCTGTGGCAATGACTTATCTCCTTCAGCATGCATCTTCAATTTCATCAATGCTACCTTTGCAGCTGTTGCACTATTTTTTGCACCCTTCCGTCGCTTAACTGCTGTCTCTCCTGTCTTGGAATCTAAGAAATAAGAACAAGCATATAAGCACGTAAGAATATTTAAATTTTCCAGAGTTTTATTAATTATTACTTTATGGCTCTAAAATGTACACAAATTACACACAATGGAGATAGAAAGAGACGACATTCATTGTGTAGGTATGACATATACATGATCAGTGGGAAAACAGCATTGAGGTTGATCTAAGCAATCTCCACATCAAAAAACTCACTGTTATGTGCTTCTTTCCAGCTCAAGCCTACTTAATCTAATCAATAACACTTCTACAGAGAACTTTAAGATTTGGTTATAGAAGATTTTTTAAAAGATTTTATTTATTTATCTTTTAGAGAGGAGGGGAAGGAGAGGGAGAGAAATATCAATGTATGGCTCCCTCTCGTGGGTCCCCTGCTGAGAGCTGGCCTGCAACCCAGGCATGTGCCCTGACTGGGAATCGAACCACAATCCTTTGGTTCGCAGGCCCGTGCTCAATCCACTGAGCTACACCAGCCAGGGCTGGTTATAGGAGATTTTAATAAAGGTAGTATCCTTACCAGAGAATGAAAATTCTGCTGAATGAAAATACATTCTCTCCTGGTACCTCAGATTATCAGCAACATTCGTAGGACAGTGGGCTAGACTTAAAATTTAGTCTTAAGAGACTATAAACCACTACTTGAGCCTCATGAATACCACTTCTAGTCATGATGGTTATCCATCTGATCTAAGTGGCGCAGCAGGAGAACATCTGGTAGGGAACTTCCACAGAATTTCTAAATTTTCTTTGGTCAGGCAGGCTTTCTGAGAAATACTGTTGCAAAAAAATGTTATTGAAATCTGTTGCAAGTTGTAACCTCGGGGGCTGTTAACAACACCTTCCAGACTGAAAAGCTGGCATAAGAAGCAGGAGCTTTAGACCTAATAAGAGTATATAGCAATAAGGAAAGCAATGAAATAAGCTTTCTTGATACTTGCCAATAATGTCTTTAACAAGTTTCTGAGTGGTGGCCATTCGAGGCTTAGGGATTTCCAGTTTTTCACATTCATGATCTGACTGATGACGGTGTCTATGAGCAACAGAAGAGTGAGATTAGTTCAAGTATTTGCATACAAATTAAAGAGATATACAGGATTTTAATGATCTGAGTGATTACCTCAGGCAAAAATTCTTCTCACCATAAGGACAGATAACTGGTACAAGCTCTTTTTCAACACACTCCTTGTATGAGCATGGATAAGATGTGTGAGTATCTGACTTCAGTCTCTCCTTGATTACAGTTACCTGAAAATGTAAAAAAAAAAAAGGGGGGGGGAATGGTATATTTCACATGGAAAGTAAATCAACAAATTTATTTTGGAAGGTTGCTTAAACTTATAAGAGCAACTTAGACACTCACACAAACATTATAATAAATATTTGCGAGTAATGATTATTGCATTGATTGTTCTACATTTTCATATTTTCCCTGCTGTGGTATACTTGTCTTCTAAGTAAAGTTAAAATGACTATTCAGTTACTATTTATAATTTCAGTTTTCTACTTTGTAACAGTCCAACACAAAGGTGCATCCAATAATAATATACTCAGGTAATCACCTCATCATCCACCCTCAAACAGCAAGTCATACCTACTTTCTACACCAACTTGAAGTAGCTAAATATATGTGTGAATACTGAAGAATTATGTTTACCTATGATACAGAAGGTTAAAGACAATTTTCATAATGATATACTATATTCTTGATGATTTAATATTGTGTTGCCAGCAAATATTACATCAGAGGAAGATGAGATTTTATAAGATCAGCCAGGCTATTTTGAGTACAGGTGACCCACACTATCTAAGTAGCTCAGCATTCCTAGGAAACCATTCATAAGCCAAAATGAAGCCCTAAAGCAAAGAAGCAATTGCCACTAATTTATATAGTAAAATTTTGAGTGTTCCCAGACCACAAAATGGGTCTCCCAAGTGCTCATACTCAGTTCACAGCTATGCGGGCTTAATGCTGAGATGCCAAGTGTGGTTCTTGGGGAAGGAGCTTGGTGGGACCGCTCTCAAGCTTGGAGCATGCGCTGCCTGTACAGTGAATGGCTCACTGTAAAACAAATGCTAAACACTATTTTCCCTTTTTGTCTTTTAAAATAAAAGTGAAAAAAATCTTTTTTGGATTTATTTTGGTTAGCAAAAACAGATACTCATGAGTTTTTCATGAAAGTGAATGAGCTTAAAGTGAACTTTCAAAAAATAGGGTGGGGCGTGGCAGGGAGAAACCTGTATTAAGTAACTGTTTCTTGAGTTGCAAGAACTTAAGGAAATAACTGCTTGAAATATACAATCAAAGGACATCCTTCTATATCAATGATAGTTACATCTTGTTCAAATGGAATTAACTATTTTTCCAAATTTGTTCCAACAGTCTTAAGGTAAATGATTTTTTTACTCCAATTAAGGAGACCTAATTGAGAGGCACTGTGTGAGAGACATTCATAGGAAATCAAATAATATCACAAGGAAAAGGAAAACGCAGGGCATATTCACAAGCTATGTAAGAAATATCACTATGTTTACTCTAGGACTCTAAATGAGTATTTCCTTCTAATTAATCCTATGTAATGCCAATGTTCATTAATTTTTAGTTTCCTCAAATAGATCACCTAAACTTCAGAGGGCCAGATTTTGACTGAAGCTCATTTAAACTTAATTTTCTGAAATTGAGAGAACAGATATAAAAATCCTTGGTAGATTGCGAGGTAAATGGTGGCCAGGAATAAATGTCCACTGCAAAGTGTGAGGCAAATGCTTCTTTCCAAATTGAGTGAATTCAGTTTAACTCCCTGCCTCTGTCTGACTCAACAGAGCTGGGGCTAACACATGTGAGAAAACTACTTTAGGTGTGGTGGACTCAGCTTTCTCTTTTTTTGGTCTTTGAACTGAACTTATAAGTAAAGGAGGTGGCCTACACTGGTCCAGCACTGCTGTAACTAGCAGGCAATGGCTTTCCTTTGCAGATCTACTGGGCTCTCACTAAGCTTTACCATTCACTTTATCTTTTATCAATAATAAAATGATATTTTGGTTCCTATTTGCCAGACCTTTTGTTAATCTCTCCATCTGTTCAGAATTCGAATGGGATTTTATTGGACCATAGGTTTGTTCCTGGGTCTAACTAAGGCTGACTGAGTCAGAACAATTTATTGCCACCAAATCGTAAAGCCAGGCACTAGTAAAAATGAACACAAGAATAAAGAAAATTGGGAGGAATATATGATGAGGATGTTAATTCCATTTTAGATCTGTACATATAGGGCTTAAAGCTGCAAGTAAGCCACCTAAACAGAACTGAAGTGTGAAGAAATAAAAATTATAAGAATAAAAATGTATAAATACCAAGTAGACCAATTTTTCTTTTAAACTGAGAAAAATAATATAAATGAAGCAAAAACCTCTTTGCATAATGAGTTTAGTACACCAAATTTTAATCTGTTGTACACTGATGGTTTGAAATCTCTTTAAAAACTGAGGAAAAGTACATAAATACAAATGTGTTATTAAACAGAACTATTAACATACCTCAGGACAGCTGTGTGACTCTCTGCTTCTGTGTTCAAGGCTTAAATAATTTAAAAAAACAGTGTTTATTTAAATGCAATCAAATAATGTAAAGATAACTGCAATAGTCTAAGATATTTCAAGGGTTAGTATCCTTAAGATTAATTACACTTATACTACATTAAGAACTAACTCTACATATAAGGATAAACTGAATACCAGATAAACATAGAGCAGCTACCGTCTCAAAAGTTTTAAAACACAACTATTCAACTTCCATGTGCATAAAAACAATTCACCACTCTAAATTACCTTTACTCTAAGGGCTTTCAAATGTGAAAAGACAACTTATTGATTCCTTTTACTTCTCAAAGGCCATTATTAATAAAAGGTCAAGGAAGAGCTTCTAGTTCTGATTTTAAAATATGCATTACTTTATTTCTAATAAATCTTTCTGAATTATCTTAAAAGAATTTATTCTTTCACTACTTTGTTTAATAAATGTCTGATACACAAAAGTATAGTTGCAAAGAAAATACATTTTCCAAAATCCCTGCTTAGTTCCCAGGCTTTTAACTTTGTGGGTGAAGGTCATGTGATCCAATTTAAGAAATGTATGGGTTGTGCTATTTTCATTTTATTAACTAAAATAAAGAGAAATAATCATAACTGAATTTCCCCCCTATATTCTTTATATTGTGGACATGCTCTCTCCTGGTAATTAAAAGACACAAATACAAGTTTTACATTAAAAAATCACACAGAAATAATACCATCTATGAAGTTAAAAAATGAGTCAAATATATGCGCAAATAGTCAAGGCCTATGACCAGGCTGTTTTTTTCAAAGTGGTTGTCCTAATGAATATCAAATATCAATGGCTAAGGTAAGAACTGTTTTAAATTATTCTGCTGTTCAGTAATAAACCTCATATTACAAATACTAAAATTACTCTCAAGTCCCACATAAAAAGTAACTTACCAAAATATTCCTGAACAACCGTCACATACAAACGGAAGAAAATCTAAAATTGAGGGAAAATGTTATATGTACTGGTCAGTGTTTGGTTTTGATTTAGTTTTCTTGAGCGTAAGTCCTGAACTACCTCCATAGAAGAACTTCCCATTTTGACCAATATGCTAGTACAGCAAATAGTGGTTAAATAAAAGCCATCACAACCTCGATTCCTTCTGGGAGAAAATAACTAGATTATCGGGAGATAAATGTTACTTGTAGTAGCACAATAAATCCAAAAAAATTTTTTTGGTTTATTTGTTTTCGTTTCCTAGATTTAGTAGGTGTTGTTTTTGAAGACTGTATATCGCAAAAACCCTGTATTTTAAGTAAAAAACCTGGGTTTCAATTCTGATTTCACTGCTTACTAATTTAGCAATGTTAGGCAAGTTAATTAATAGTAGAGCTTTGGAGATTTTATATAGAAATATATTTTATAGTAGAATATATTATGCATGTAAACACACACACACATATATATATATATATATATGCACAAAACCAAAGTTCTTATTATTAGGTAATACAGGAATAAATACAGTTATAAGTATACAGTGTCTATGTGTATATATGTATCTATGCTATATGCTATATCAACTTCACAGAGTGATTAAAAAAGCCAAATGGTATACATAAAAGGTATGGATAGGACAGTAACTATAATTCCTAAAGATAATTACAATTGACTTGTCCTGAATATATTCAATCTAAGAAAAAATCCTGTGGTAACTAGGAGAAATTTTTCAAGAAATTCCAGAAATTCAATAGGTTGATTTGATACTGCAAAATTTAATCCTGAATTGTTTTTCCTTGATGTTGAGGAACAACTAAGCTGGAACTAACAACTAAGTAAGGAACAGAATTTTTAGCAAGTACAAGGAAGCATCCATTTCTAGATGTGGCAACTCACTAGTCACCAGACACAGTTACTCTCTGAATTGTTTTCAATGTACTTCATATTATAGTTTATAGCTAAGTAAGGCTGGATATATCCAATCACACCATTTTTACAAAGTGAAAATAAAAAAACATTGCACTGTAGAGAAAGCTGCGATTTCCCCCTCCAAAGATCTAATTCTACAGGTTGTTATCTCAATAGGCAACAGAAAGAAGGAATCTTTTTACAACAGAAAGGGACCCCTGGCTAATTGTGGGACAAGAAGACCCAAATACAGTTCTTCCTTCACGTGGGCTTAATGAACTGTGCCACTGTTGTTCTGACTACAGGATTCTGTGAGCATGTTTTATACCAATTAAGTCTAGCAGGGATGCTGTCTTTTTGTCCACAGCCCATAGCAGGTATCGCTCAGCAATTGCGACACTCTCCCTAATCCCGACTGAACTTGATTCCTTCTCAACAAACTCAGATACCTGCTGCCAATGACACAAGAGGCCGCAAGGGTAGATGAAACCTATTTGCCACCTAGTGTGAGCCAAATGTGATTGCGCAGGTATGGATTGAAACCCAGGTACCAAGGACTGAGCTTGTTGTGTGCTTTAATTTTTTTAGGAGCTTGTCTGCAGGAGACGTATGAAATCCTTAAAGCCTGGGACACACTGCCCAGAGCTAGCTCTTGGATGGGCTCTGTGGATCCTGGGTCTCCCATATCAAGGGGCAGAGACCACATGAATGCTTTAAAATGCAGCTTAACTACCAGCCTTTAAAAAGCCTTATTGTAGTCCCAGCCCAAACTAGCTGCCCTGCAGATGTTCGCTGATTGGGTGACAATCAAAATGCAAGACTGCCAGAGCTGGGAAAGTTGATAACCTGGAGGGATAGCTTGAGGATCGGAATCCCTTGGAGAATATGGTAAAAGCTAAGGGCCTTCGCACTAGAAGCTTGTCTCTAGAGGCCCATAAACCAGGTTAAAACTGATCTCGCCCGCTGCCTTCTTCTGACAATACGTAACAGATTAAACAAGAAGTCTGGGGAAGAGAAAGGCTCGGCCCAGACCGCTGTGGCAGGGCCGGCGGGGAGCTCCAGCCTCTCCCCTGCGACTTTCAGGCGAGCGCCCCAAACACCCAGGTGCACGCGCTGGTGTTTCCAGGCGTCGCCGGGCTCCCGGCCGTGGCCGCCACGGGGCTCCCAGAAGCGCCAGCGAAGCTCGCTGCACACCCCGGAGGGCGCGCACGCCCAGGCCTCCCCTCTCCCTCGGCCACTGTCCGGGGGTCGGAGCCGAAACCGACTCCGCTGTCACCTCGCCGCCGGCAGTGTTCCAACTGGCAGTGTACCCCGACCTCCAATTCCGCCATCTCCCAGCACCCGAGGGGCGGGGCCGAAGCAGGGGCGAGGCCACCCAGAGCGCGCGGCGCCCGCTGGGAACTTGGAGAACCCGCGGGTTGACAAGCACGTTGGGGCGGGGCCGGGGCGGGGCCCGGGGCGGGGCCCGGGGCGGGGCCCAGGCCGGAAGCTGCGGAGAGCTGATGGCCCTTAGAGTCCTGAGTGATTGTGATCAGGCGCAAGTCAGCCCTAAGAAAGGGCCGGTAGTCTGTCTTTTTTCCCCAGACTGGAGGTCCTCACGCCCACCCCATAAGGAAATACTCACCTTGTGTCCGGCAGGACTGCCTGCTGCAACTAGAATCCCGAAAGCCGCGCAAGGATTGTCTTTTTTATTATTAGTATAACTCTAGGAACCAACACAGTGCCCAGCACAGGTATTTACAAGAGTCAAATGAAGTAGAGAACATGGGTCGTGTGATTCCTGATTCGACCTACACCAGTGTTACTTGATTATACAGTTTAAAGTCAATGTCCCTTGTGAGGAAGACATTAGGTGTTTTTATAAATAAAGCTTAAAAATTTTTTTCTTGCCTTTTAAATAATTTTTTATAGAAAAAGTTCCCGAGTGCTTACTGAATGAACCTCAGAGGGTTTGTTAGCCCAGACACATTACACAGCCACCTAAAGCAAGCTGACAGGGATTCCTTTGGGACGGGAGTAGTTCCAGGTGCTTGATGAACCATTTCAAAGGAACCTAGGGAGGTGAGGCTCTAGGGGAGGTACAAATGGATGACATTCACCTGACGAGAGTTAGAGTGCATAAGTGGTAAAACTCCTTATGACAGGAACTGGAAAAGTAGTGACTCATGTACGACCTTCGGTATTCCAGTGCCTGTTATAAGACCTTCGGTTGTCCCAATTCAATATTCACTGAGGAAGGAGAAAGGTGGGCTTGGGAAACAGGTATCCTTACTTACGGTTTTGCACTTGAATAAACCTATTTAAGAACTCCATTTCAAACTTGCTTGGATCTCTGAAGACACTTTAGATTTTAGAGCTGGAAGAAACTTAAGGTATCATCTAGCTCTCTCAGCCTCCCTGGGTCCCTCCCCGCCTCCCCCCCCCTTCCCCCGCCCCCACCCGGGACACATTGCTTTTAAAGAGAGGGAGGGAGGGAGAGAGAGAGAAAGAAAGAGAGAGAAACATCCATTGGTTGCCTTTTATGCAGTCTGATGGGGATCAAATCCACAACCTGGGTGTGTGCCCTGACTGGGAATCAAACCCGAAAATATTCAGTCTATAGGACATCACTCCAATCAGCTGTAAGCCACACCAGCCAGAGCAGCTTTTCCTTAGTCATAGGCATTAAATGATTTGTCCAAATTAGTGAAAGAGGACTAAAATCCACGTGGCAAAGACTTCTGGCATTCTAGAATCTAAGAATTACTTGCTTACCTAGATTTTTTATGTTTACTTTATCTGATTGTGTCAATCATTTTCAGGTTTTCTAGAATTGCACTGTTTTCTAGAATTCACTAAGTAAATTCTAATTTACTAGAATTTCTAAGTAGCTGGCAAATATATATTTTATCAGTCCAATCATAATGGAAATATTTTTATTTTTTCAGTTCACTTAGACTGGGAATATTGGTATCAAATAATTAGAGTAGCCAAGACTGCAGTTGCTAGCTCTTCCATATTTACTTAGTCTCCTTTGCTGATTTCTCTCTAGGGGTTACTTGTACATGCCTATTTCCCCATAATTTTGTCTTTGGTCCCTTTATCAATTTATATCCTCATACAAAGGAAATTCCTGTGGTTCTGTGGTAGGCAGTTAGACAGACATGAACAAGGATGATATGCCTGGTACAGAAAGAAGGTCATCAGGGTGGAAGGCCCTGGGTGCTAGTCAATGGCAAAACTGGGAAAACAAGGACTTCACCCCCAAGGTAACCTTTCCTCCCCGAGCATATCAACCGGTCATGCAGCTCAGACTCTTCCCCGATATTTCCTCCCCTAGCATGTTGCTAGCATATGGGTTAGACCTTCTTCGATGGAGAATGAATAAGGGGGACAGAGAATAATCCTTAAGCATTAAGACTCCCAGACCATAAAGTTCTGACCCGCATCAAATACATCTACACTTCAGTTGTGTTTCAGTTTTAAGGCCCCAACAGGCAGCAAAAACAGACAACTGACACTGTGACTGACATCAGGACCAGCTGCCCTGACTAATGACCCCCTGCCCTGGTGCTGACCAGTCAGGAGAGACCACAATCCAGAAAAGCCAATGACTGTTCTGTTGAGATTATCCTGTGGAAATTTCTTTACAATCTCTGCCCTTAAAAGCTTTTAGGATGAAGGACTCAGAATGCTCAGCCTCCTGGGAGCATGCTCTGTCTTTTCCTACCCTTCTTCTTCCCACCAGGTGCATTATCATTATCTTCCTCTCTCCTAAGATTCAAGGCCTTTCTTTTGTCCCTGCAACTTGTTTCCTGAGCCTATTTCTTCTACCACTCACTTCTTCTCCCTCTGTGACTTTCTAAATAAACTTTCTTTTACAGTTTGAGTCTTGGTTCTGAATCCTTTCCTAGCCAGAACTCAAGTATCAAGTGTGCTGAACCAAGGTCCTATCTGACCCCACTGGTCTAACACCTGGTGCTGTTCTTATAACCAACAGTTCCAGGGACTCCCATATCTGTATTCTCAGCCCAAAGAACATTCTCCCAAGCTGGAGATTTCTATTTCCATCTGTTGGTTAGACATACTCTCTTGATGTCATTTGTCATGTAAAACTCCAGTCTAAAATGAAATTCTTTCCTACCATATCATCCTCTCCCTAAGGAAGGCAGTCTACCACCTTGCCTTTCTTACTTCTCCTAGGGAAGATCTACTAAACTATCAGTTGTGCCATAGAAATGCCTCTCAAACCTGTACTCTTCAATTTTCCTATTTCCTCCCCCAAAGCTCGCTCCCTTCTGTCACTGGTCCTCCATTGTTCACAAGATTCCTTAGCTTAGCAAGGAAAAGCACCTTGTTAACATTTTCACAGTTTTGAGCACTGGACTTCCCACTCTCCGACCATCTCCTGAATATGCCTTCTGGCTCTTTCATTTATCCAGGCTTTCGCATATGCATTTTCTTTTCTCTGAGTGTTCTCTTTACCAGAGTTTCCTAAACTTTCTTGAAAACGAGAGTCATGTGGAGTGTTAATTAATAAATACAGCAGTCTATACCCCACTCTGAGTCTGATTTAGAAGGTCTTGGATGGGTCCTGGCAAGCTATGTTTAAAAATTCAACTTTAAATTCATTCTTATCAACAGACCAGCTTAGAAAATAGATTTCTCTTTTATCTTTCTATAATGGAATTTCTCTTTTACCCCTTCATAACATGCTTTTGTTATCCTTTCATCTGGAAAGTCCTGAATGCATCAGCAAAAGTCAGTCCTTTAGGACATCGTGCACCTACTCTGACAGCACTTCCTATGTACTTTTCTTACCAGCACTAATCACATAGTATAATTTACCTGACCAAGTGGCTTATATTAGCTATATAATAACATCTGCCTCAAGTCCATTCAGCAAGTGTTTTGGCTATCTATTCTTCATCAGATATTATTCTAGGTTTGATACAGATTGGACAAGACCTGGTCCCTGATCTCAAGGAGCTTACGTAGTCTACAGAGCAATACTTCTGCTTGGCATTTAAATGCTTTCAGATCTTGGTCCAACCTACCTGTCTCTCATTTACTATCTTTCACATGCCTCTTCCTACTCTGTGCTCCCTGTGGCCACAGGTCATTTACATCTGTTGTTTCTTCTACTTAGAGTGTCCTTCTCCCCATTTGATCTAATTTGTTTCTACTTTCCTTTAGCTATCACCTCAAGTATCTTTTCCTTAGGAAATTCTTTGTTTTCCAGTGTTAGGACACATCCTGCTCTTATTACAGTCACTTCATATCTCCTTCAAAGCATTTATCCCAGACTTGATTTAGTATTTGTTTCTATGATTATTGGATTAAGTTTGCCTCCCACTCCAAGATGTAAGCTCCATGAGGACAGGGACCATGTCTGTCTTTGCTGTCTGTTGTAGTTTAATTGCCCCAAGTCTACTTTTAGATATAAAATAAAATTTTATTGGATAAATGAATTTTTCCTAATTCTTCTATGCATGAGCAAAATTGAATTATTACAGGTTTCTTGTACATGCCCTTGTCTTCCTCACCTCTGGGTCTGGAGCTGCCTTCTCTGTCACAGAATGTCCTTTCTCCTATCTATACAAATGAAATTCCTACCCAAGCTTGAGTGCCAAATACAAATTTCAAATCCTCTCCAAGGCTTTCCTTTATTCCTTCCACTGCAAAAGACTCACTCCTTCTTTTGGATTCTTATTATGTTCTATCAATACTTCTCTATTAAACATAGTTATTTCTAAATGTTACTACAATTGTTTTTATGTATATCTTCTCCCTTACAGGCTATAACCACTTTGATGGCTAGACTGATGTTTCATTCATCATCACAATTCTTTCAATCTGTTATGATGCCATTCAATCTGGTCCCAGAATGAAGACACATGGAATAGACCTCAACCCAATCTACAACATGGAGCCAAGCTTAGTCAACCCACAGTGTGAAGAAGAGCTACCCAGACAATCCTTTCCTAGTCTAGGCAAATTTCAATAGACCTGAAGGTCTGTGAGCTTCAGTATAAATGCTTACGGTTATAAGTACTGAAGTTTTGGTATGTTTTGTAACAGCATCCTCATGGCAATGTCTCACTAATATACAGGAAATAAATATAACAAATAAAAGGCAAGATATTCCCTAATTCACACAACAAATAATTTCTCCTCTCTGTTTTTCAGTTTATCTTGTATGCCATGTCCTAAATCAAAGCTTCACCATGAGTGAACAAAATGGGTGTGTGAGTCAGCATTCCAGAAAAGGAGCAATAAGAATGTGCTTGGTGAATTTGAGGTAGGGTGGGCAGACCAGAGTGGGCAGGCCAGGTTGGCTGGAGCAGAGTGGACCCGTGGGAGAGGAGATTGGACAGGGAGGTACTGGTGATGTGAGAGTGAGGGTTGGTAGCACTTCATGGAGGGGCTTGAAGACCGTTGTGAAGACCTTAGCTTTACATCTGGAATAAATTGGGAAGTCAGTGGAGGGTTTGTCCCTGGCTCACTCTGCAGGGAGTCAGCGGCAAGGTCAAGGTGATGCTAAGGGAGGTCAGTTGCAAGTCCACTGCGATATGTAGCAGAGAGCCTGGAGTGGGTTGGAATAGGGTGTTAGCAGTGGTGGTAGTGGTGAGGGGTCAGTTTTGTAGTAATGAGAGCCCATGGGCCTGCTGATGTGTTGGATGTGGAGTGTGAGAGGAAGAGAAGGGACAAGGATGACTCCAAGGGTTTTGGTCTGAGCAAAAGGAAAGCTATCATTATTAACAGAGAGACAATCTGTGTGCTTCTTGACTAGGTCCAGTATCTCATGAGATTAGATTTGGGTATAACGAAGTTCTAGAGTGAAAGGAAGGTGAATCAACTTTGGGTAGGTTATGCAATATGGATAATATTGAGGTAGAGGGTTATGTCTCATTTTATATTCACTAAGTGGTTGGTGTAGAAAACATTTTACAACCAAATCTGATAATCTTGATTCAGTCATTTTTTTTTCTGGTCAGGGATAGACAGAGAAAAGAAAAAACATGAATGAAGAGCTATGCAGGCAGAACTCAGTCACAGGTACCATATATCTTCATTTATAAATTAGGGCACGACAACTTCTATTTCTGAAATATTATTATTTTTCATAATGGCTACTTTTGTACTCATTATTGTGATATGATGATTATTTGGTTCCAAAACAGAATTGCTGATGAAAAGAATGTGTACATGCTTGTTGAGCTGCTTAATAAATAACTATTTGATGATGATTCTGCTGTGTGTTTAAAGGGCAATTCTTCTTCTGTTGCTTCAGAGAGTTCATTTGGCATTCTAAAAATGGATGTAATTCTAAGGGGTGGCCAAAATGTATCAATTAGCCTGACATCTAGGTCTTTTTAACAGATCTATACATTTCCAATTTCCTTTGCCATCTTACCCATGGTAAATCATCCTGAATAAGACCATTCTTTTTAATAACAGCCTCCTTATTAGCTGAGACCAACTGAGATTAGAAAATGAAAAATATACAAGATGCTGAGAACTCTTCATGAAATCACATTTGTAGGATGAGTATTGAATGAAGATTAATGTGTTATTTTCAGCTTCCACATCATTGATTTAAAAATTTATTCTCTATATTTTATTGCTGGATTAAGCACTAATACATATTTGGATTGTTTGTTTGCTTGCTTGCAAGTATTATCTTTTCTCTACTGAGGTTATATATTAATGGAAGGGGCTGATTTTTGATTCAAATATTTCTCACCTTGCATACCACATGTGTTTCAGAAAGTACTACACACTAAATTGGGTAGAACTGATTCCTTTTTCCACTGAATTATAAATTAATGATTAATTTTTTGCTCAAATTTCTGATTTTCGTTTTCTCTTCAGATAAAACACAAGATTCTCATTAGCACATTCTGTGGCCCCTGGACTCTGTCTGCCTTTACAGACAATCTCACAGCACACTCTCCTCTTGTTCCAAGCCCCAGGTATCCTGGTTATCCTTTGAACCCTAATATTTTAGACTCAAGATTTGGGTGCATGTTATTTAAAATTTTAATTCTCTAATACTCTGTGCTTAATTCCCCCCCCCCAAGTAGCACATATAGGACATTACTTTCTTTTTTATTTTTAAAAGTTCTATTTATTTATCTTTAGAGGGAAAGGGAAGGAGAGAAGGAAAGAAATATCAGTGTATGGTTGCCTCTCATGCGTCCCCTGCTGGGAACTGGCCTGCCACCCGGGCATGTGCCCTGACTGGGAATGGAACTGTGGTTGTTTGGTTCACAGGCCTGCGCTCAATCCACTGAGCCACACCAGCCAGGCTGAAAATGTCCAATTTCTGTGGCAAAATTTGATTCTGGCTCTTCCAGTGTTGGATAAAATGGACCAACCTGCTGCTTGTGTTAGTATAATGACAAATTCGGTTATTACTGGGTATTTTGGGTGTATTATTGGGTATTTGGGTGTATTTTTATAAAAAAGCATCATAGCAATGGTTGCTTTTTTTTCTCCTTTTACAATCAGTGGTTAGTTAACGATCACAAATAGGTTCTGATGCTGTTGGGTAATTGCTCAAATAGGGCTAAATTATGTGGGGTGTATACAGCCCTTGAAAACCAGAACACAGACTCAAGTCCACATTCCACTTCTTGGTGGCATGCTCAGTGTCAGCTGTAGTCATTACATATCCGTGTCCTTTCAGTTTACCAAACTCCGTTTGCAGGTGGGACTGAGATGGTGAGCCCGAACAAAAAAATGTTTCTTTTCTCTGGGACTTTTGCTCCTTGTGTTATTTAGGTGTCTCTGTAAAGGCATCTGATGTAGAGCAAACACAACAGTCCCCCATTAAAAGTGTTTGTTACCCTAACCATGCTAAATGCTTCAGATTCCTAATTACAGAATTGAATGGAACAACCAAACTCACCCAGAAGTCCTGGCATTGGCAGAAGAGATGACCACCATCTTTCAGTCACTTCAAACTATGTAAGGATGATGTAGAAACGGCCCATGCCCACAGCAACCAGGCACACAGGGACCTGCCCAAATTCCTCGTCTGCAGACAAGTCTCACAGACCAGTTGCCTTTAGATGAGCTTCCTACCAGACACCTACATCACAGTGGCAGAACCCTCCACACACTCACACCCACAGGACACACACCTATACTCTTGTGTTCTTATCCACAAAGACAGAGACTGGTGCACAGGAACACTTTGCACACACACTCACAAACAAAAACATACAGCACACGTGTGGAATAAAACATTTTGTTTATTTGGCTGACACACACACACACACACACACACACACACACACACACACACACACACACACACACACACGCTCGCTCTCGCCTGCTTTCAGGACCCGCGCACGAGCCCTGGAACATGGCTTTGCTCTCCTTCACCGTGGTGCGTCCCCGGCGTAGACACAGGCACAACTGCTGCACAACTCTGCCACAGTCCTGCCGGAGTTCTGCACTTTTTCTGAGCCGTCCCGGAGCTCCCCATGCCAGTGGCGCCAGCGGCCAAGTTCGACTACAAAGAGCCCTCCCCTCCTGGTCGAGCCGAGGGCGGGGCCCTGGCGCCAGGAAATGCCCAGGAGTGTGTGTCACCTGCCCCGAACACTTGTTGATTCTCAGGAACGCGGCCTTTGAGGTCGGAACCCGAGAAGGATTGCGATCTCGCCTCCTGGGCCTCAGGCGGCCCCCAGACACGCAGACATGAGCAAGTTGGGCAAGTTCTTTAAAGGGGGAGGCTCTTCTAAGAGCCGAGCGGCTCCCAGCCCCCAGGAAGCCCTGGCCCGACTTCGGGAGACTGAGGAGATGCTAGGCAAGAAACAGGAGTACCTGGAAAACCGCATCCAGAGAGAACTCATCCTGGCCAAGAAGCACGGCACGCACAATAAGCGAGGTAGGTTCGGGCTGCCCCAGGCGTGGGCTCCCACCCGCCTACTTCTGGTCCACAGCACCTGCCGTCCTGGCGGCCAGGTGTGCGCCCTCAGCTTTCCCAGGAACTTACACTGACCCCCCAGGGCTGGGACTGCAGGGAGCCGAACTAGGCACGATCCCGGAGGGCGAGGTGCTCAAGAGGAATAGTAGGCAATATTTTAAAAACTCAAAAGGAATGCAAAAACTCCGCGATGAACGAAATATCAAAATTTTAAATAAAGATAGGATCGGTATTACTGATTTTATTCCCTCTTTTGATTCTTATATGCAGTGAACAGCAATTCTTTATTTAAAATTCTTTTTTTAATGTGCTGTTTTGTTCAACATGGATTTTTCCAATCATTTGTTTTAAATATATGGCATGAAAATATTATTGATCTTGATTATTGAATTTTTGGGTGGCCCCTTAAATATTGTTCCTGGCTGGCCTCACCCCAGTCCAGCCCTGCTGACCTCAACACTAAATATTAGGTTTTCTACTGTGTGTTTGTGTGCTGAATCACACATTTCAATTTGCATGTAAATCGCCAGTGAAGTACATTCTACTATATTCTGGTGCCTCAGCTGTTGAAGACTTTAGTTGGCAGAGTGCAGGTGAGTGAGACAATGTAACAACAACAAAAAAAAACAAAGAAAGTCAGGGAATTAATTATTAAAGTTCCTATCACTGCTTTTTACCACCCTCGAGGAACTTTGAGTTCCAGTAATGAAACTTAGTGTTCCGACTGTACCTCGAACCCTTTATTCTTTGCCAGAGTTAATTGGTTTCTTCAGTGTACAGCTCTCTACAGAGAATAAAACAGCAGCAGTGCAACATATAAAATCCAGTGACAATTTGAAGGGATTTGCTCTTGTAACCCGAGGTCAATGGCAGACTCAGAAATAGAAGTGGCCATACAGGACTCTGTTCACTGCCAAATTTTGAATGCTCCCTTCAGTCATAATGACCCTTGGGAGATTGAGCTCCCCACAAGTGATGCCATCATTGTTAAACACAGGAAAGGAATAATGTCTCCTGGAGTTGACCTTGAAACCTTGTTGCTCCCATAAAAATGCTCCTGATACATTTGTACCCACTTATTACCAGCAATAAGGAGGTCAAGTTTTATTTTTCTCTGTTACTGTGTATAAGTTTTGACCATATTATGGTCTGTTTTTGAGTTAAGTGCTGGTTTCTATTTTTGCTTTATGTCTGAAAATATTTTGGCAATTTCTGCACAGAAACTATGCTGCTGTGGCTTGCCCAAAAGTCATCAGTTATTCTGTTCCCCCGTCTCCCTCTCCAAATTGATATACATTCTGACATTTGCTTAGTGTCTGTCAAGGGTTTTCTTTTCTTTTTTGTTTTGTCATCCATTTGGATGTCTTTAAAGGTTTATCTACAGCCGTAGTTCAGTAAATAGTTGTTTTAAAAATCTGAAAAATTGAATGCCTGCTTCTAGTAAGTGGTAAACATATAGATTTGCTTTCAGAAGACAAAAATGTAAAATAAATATAGAAATGCTTTAAAATTGGCAATGCACTAAAGTGTATACCAGTAGACTTTATAAAGACACCAAAAATATTAAAGACAAAACTAAGAACATCAGCCTACCTTCCTTAAATCAGAGAAGTTACATACAAATGCCACTATCAAGATCAATTTATCAGTTGGTGTCAGAAAGCCATTTACTTTCTGTCATTTATCCTTGGAAACTTCACTGATGTTAACCCAACCCTGGTTCTACGGTGGCTTTGGGATTAGAGAGAGGCTGGTTAGCAAGAGGTCATCTATAATCTGAATTGTGGAAAGAATTCAGTTAGACCATTCTTTGGAGACATTGTTAATCATCATTATCACCAAATAAACTACTTCATATACACATAGTTACTGACTTTCATCAGCCACCAGGAAATATTTTCATGCACATCGTAAAGACCAATATACATGGTACTAAATGGACCTCGTGTTACTCAATGTTAGTACAAGAATGGCTATAATTTACACAATAAGCAGAGTTACTTCTAGAGGTGGTTGGCCAGCTAACATATCAAGAATACTGGTTGAGTGGCCAGCTAGTACTGTGTCAGAAAGGAGCATACTCCTGACTTGTACAAATTCTTTAGCAATCTATTTCTCCACAACAACAGAAGTCTTTTTAAAATATTTATTTATTTATTTATTTATTTATTTATTTATTTATTTATTTATTTTAAGGGAGTGATTGGTTGCTTCTTGCACACCCCCAACTGGGGACCTGGCCCAAAACCCAGGCATGTGCCATGACCTGTAATCGAACCAATGGCCTTTAGGTTTGTCGGATGACCCCAACCCACTGAGCTACACCAGTCAGGGCAACAACAACAGAAGTCTTGACAGCATTCTGTATGTCAAAAATGGGTTTTATTGGTAAAATGAGTAACTCAAATTAGCATAATAAATGTGAAATGGGGTCTCACTGATGAAGTTGTGGGTATTCTAAACACATGGGCTGGTTAAAGTAGTTTAAAAATCCTTTCCTGCTCCCCACGTAAGAATGGATGGTAGAAACGTGCTGGGTGTGTAACTAATTCAGCATTAGGGTGGTACCTGAGGCTCAACTTCAACTCAGTGGAAGTCCTTGGTTCAGGTGGGTCTCTGACCGAGTGCACCTCCCACAGGGCACAGCACTGTGCCAGGGAATACCACCCTGTCTCCAGTGAACTTTTCATTCACGGTATATTGAACCTAAAGAGACATAGAGTTGGGACTTCACTGAGCTCATGGAACAGCTTGACAAACTGCATTTTGATTGCTTGGCCAGTGTGTGTTTGTTTAATAAGTATATCTGCAAAACTTAGTGTGAGAACTGCCTTCACCATAACTCAAGCAAGTAGCAAGGTTGTGCAGTGGCAGCTAATTCTTCCCACTTCGAACCTCCTTGGCAGTTACCAGTCTACCAGAAAGGCCCTCACTGTGTATCACCAAACTATTACTGCAGCAGCCGTGATATTCAAGGCCCTGCTGATTTGAAAAAGTAACATTTGGAGCAAGACATAATTTAGTTAAAAACTTGGAGAGGTCAGATGTCTTCAATGCAGTTTTTTAAGAGACTGTGTAGATTTCCTGCACTATAGCTAGTAATCTGTTTGTGGAAAAGCAATCTTTTTATATAACACTTAAATTTTTTCTACTCCTGCTGAGCTCCGTCATCTAGAACAGTTTTCAATTCTTTCTGTATATTAAAGTCCCCTTGATGACAGGGTCCCAGCCCTGTAGATTCTGGTATAATTGGCTGGGGTGTGGCTTGGGCACGCGATTATTCTTCCTTGTGTCTTGGGTTAAGGATTAGGATCCTGAATCCATAGTAATGTTAATGAGACAGAGATACAAGTCATCTTAGTCTTATACTGCTTCCTCCTCCCCTTTTTCATATCATGGCTCCATGGGCACTGATGATATTTGTATGCTTCACTGGCCGGTGGCTTCAGGAGCTGAAGGCACACAGTAGTCCCCTCCCGCCACAATGGATTGATGGAATACCTTAGGGGTCACTGTTCTAACCTCCCTTATCAAGATTTTATATACTGTATTTTTCGGACTGTAAGATGCACTGCCCTGCCCCAAATTTGGGAGGAATAATGGTTGTTAATGCTGCTGATGAGTTGTGTTTACATTTACATTTGTGAAATATTATGTTACTTATGTTATTAAATATTTTACCACATTTTTTGCTTCAAAAATTTTCCCCTATTTTACTCCTCTAAAACCTAGGTGTGTCTTATGGTCCAAAAAATACAGTATATATAATACATATATATATGACCAAGAAATGGTCATAGGGACCTTGCTTAAATATAATGTTCTGGTCGAATTTTTTCACATTTGATAGAAAGTAACTCAGTCTTGTAGTTAAGAGCTGGGGTGTCAAAGCAGACAGCCCAGAGGCCCAGCCAGGCCCTGCCATTTAGAAACTGGGTGACTTTAGACCACTTTCTTGTCCTGTCTTATTCTCAGTTTCCTTATCTGTATAATGGTGATGATAAAGTTGATTCTCAGAATTTTAAGAATTAATGACATTATTGTGTGAAGCCCTTAATTATGTATTTTATAAATATCAGCTAATGTTGTAGTGATAGCTCTTTTTGTTTAAAGCTGAAACTGGCTTCCTAGTAAGTTCCACTTATTGGCCCAAATTGTGTCTTTTGGAGTACCAGGGAATAAATCTTTTCCATCTGTGTGACATAAAGATTTTTTACATATTTAAGGACAGCAGTCACTTCTCTGAGTCTCGAGCTCACAATCCACCTTACTGGCTTTCTCAGTTTCTTTCTTCTCCTAGACTGAACTGGACTTGCCACGTCTGGGTCCAGGGAAAAGCCAGAGAGACCCCCTAGGACACACTTGTGTGACCTAAGGGTGGAAGCTTCTTAAATTCCCACCCTAGGTACCCTCTTTCTCCCTTACACTACACCTGGCCCTGTTGCTTAGCTTGTCCCAGGAAAAGCAACAAATCCAAATGTTATTATGTGAAAAACGTGTATCCAATCTGGGGAATTATGGGTCTCAAGCTATTGGTCTATTAGAGAAGAAAGATTGAGACAGACAAGAGGCAAATTTAGCCCAAACCCCTATCATTGCATGTGATTCCAGTGAAAACCTGGTTGCTGAGGCTACTTCATCTCTTCATCAGGTGTCTCTTTGGTGAATGAGACCCCAAGGAAGAGTCTTGAGTAACAGGCTACATTGCAGGCTGAGCGTTTTTTGATGAGGGGTAAATTTGTTTTCAGAGTCATGGTTCATATGTGGTTGTCCTCAGAGCTGGTGTGTACACAGTCCTGCTGGCTTAGCTCAATGTTGGAACTTCTCTGGCCTCTTGAATTGCTTTTTGTTACCATTATCATGGAGCTGAATTCTGCAATTTCAGACCTGGGGACCAGAGGACTTCTGTGTGAAGAGAACCATGTGTGTGTCAGCTAGTTCTGCACAGTGTTGTGAGGGCA